ACGACCTTGCACCTTCTCTGAGCCTCCTGTAGACCCCATGCTCCAACCACTGTCCTCCCATCCTAGGAGCCCAGGACCTGCCCAGACACCTAACGGGTTTGTGTGGCTCGAAGGCCTACTTTGTCTCCGGTCTCATTTTGCACAATTACTTCATTGACTCATACACTCGTGTGCACATCTGAGCTCCCTGTGGTCAGACTCTAAGCTCCCTGAAGATGGTGATGAGGCTGCATCCCCTTGAATGCTGCACAGCTGGAGGCATGATGAGCACAGAGTAGGTGCTCATGACCACCTGTGAAACAGGTGGTAGCTTTTCTGTCCCAACCAAGAAGCAGGAAAAGGTGCCACCTCACCTCCCGGATCAGCAGCCTAACCTGGAAGGAGACGGGGTTCCTGGAGGCCCCTCTCACCCACCACACATAGCCAGTCAGTAGCCACTGTGAGCGGGGTCCCAGTGGGCCCATGCGAATGCCACCAGCCAGGACCCCCGTGTTCCTGTCCGAGTGGCCAGCAGGGGCCCAGGCCCGTGAACCCCTGCCAGCTCCCCACAGCTTCAGCCATCACCAGGAAACCAGGCTGGGTTCGCATGACCTTCACACAGACCAGCATCACCTCAGCTCCCCAGCACTTAGCACAGTTTGCAATTACAGGTTTCTTTGTATGATTATTGGATAATGTCTGTCTCCCCCACGAGATGTAAACTCCACGAGCCTGGCTGAAGGGTGAAGACTGTGTTTGCTCCCTGCTGACTTCCCAGCCTCTAGTGCAGGGCCCGGCACCTGGTGGGGAGTCAATCAACACTTGAGGACTGAACGCTGAATTTGGTATCTGACGCACACCAAAGCCTTTCTGTGTAGGCTGTGTCACGTGAGCCTCAAAGCAGCTCTGTAAGGTTCAAATACCCATTTTACAGATAAGGAAACTGAGGCTCAAAAAAGTCAAAGTTTAAGAAAGAAGAAGGAGAAAGAAAGAAAGGTCAAAGTTTTCCCAGATTGACGGTCCATTTGAGTCACAGAGCCGATTAGAAACCAGGTGTATCCACACTCAACAATCTGCACGTGCGGGACGATGATGATGATGATGATGATGATGATAGCTAACGTGTGATAGCCATAGGCTGTGTTGCATCAGGGAGTTCCATGAGCTCTGTGTCCCGTCCCTCACCCCCACTTTCAGCAACTTGGCTGGCAGAGAGTATCTTGGGATCCTGACTCCCCAGAATCCACCTGCCAAGAGCTGGGGCCGGGGGGCCAGGCCTCCTCTGTGTATCTTGAACCCTTTCTGGCCCCCAGCTGTTCCTCTAGTGGGAACAATGAAAAGCAGGGGCGCTCCAGGTCGGGTCACCCCAACACCCATTGGGCTTCCCTGGAATCCCAGGCACCAGTGGGGACTCCTGACAGGAGGAAAGACTCCGGGGTGCAGGGAGGACTGTGAGGAGATGAAGACACTGCCCCAGGGAGGGGAGTGGCGGGTGGCGCGGCTCAGGAGTCCCTCCCCGTGCAGGGCCATCTGTGCACAGCCCCGGGGGTCTCTGCTCACATAGAGGGACCACCCCCATCCGCGGGAACCAGGCCTCCCGCACCCGGGACGGGAAGGACGTTTTCCCAGCTCACCGATCATAGTCCCCGTTGCAGAGGGCTCTCACGGGAATGGAGAAAGTTTGCCACACTGGGTTTAGGGTGTTCTTCATGACCTCGGTCTTGTGGCAGATGGTGAACCTGGCAGAGAAGAGAGGGAAGGTGTCAGACCCCGACCCAAGGAAGGCGGAGTCCAGGTCAACTGAGGGACCAGCTGGTTAAGCTCTCCGGTTGACAGCCAGTAAGGACCGTGGCTTTGTGAAGGGATGAGCTGACCGTCACCAGCGGCATCCAGGTAGAAACTGGACGGCTGTTTCCTGGTGATGCCGCAGAGAGGGTTCCTGGGGGATGCGGGCCCTGGCCCTGCTCTGTGTGACCTTGAGCATGCCCTTTCCTCTCTGGGCCTCTGTTTCCAGGGACTTGGCCGCTATCAGATGTTCTTCAACTGAGACCCACGGAAGGATCTGTGCATGGGCTTTGGGGGCCTGTGAACCCGGAAACTGTCAGTGAAGCCGGGTCTGGGCTTCGCATCCTTGCTGCTTTCCTGCCCCCCACCCCCCCAAACCCCAATTTCCATGTTCATGGCTCACCTCCTCACTCCCTTCCGGTCTTTACTCAAATGTCACCCCTTTGACACGAGTACCTGCCATGAGCACCGAATCTGAAATGTACACCCCCTGGCCCTGCCCCTGCCACCCCAGGCCCCGGCCACGCTGGCTCCCCTCCCACCTGTCACCATTTGACATTCGGCACCGTCTGATTTTCTGCTTATTCATTTTCTGGGCTGTCACTAGACTGTACGCTCGGTAAGAGCAAGGGTTTTGTCTTCTTTGACCACTGGTACGTCTCCGGTGCCCCCAGACGGCGCCTGGCACGTAGTAAATGTTCACCAAGTGTTTTCTGGAATGAGTGAATGAATGAATGTATTTCCTAGAGGAGAATTTCCATCGCTTTTGCTGGCATTTCAAGCCAGAGGATGGAAGCTCTGGCTGAGATGATCTCTAAGACCTTTTCAGCGCTGAATCCATGAGCTTGCTTTGCAATGAGAAATGCAGGATTGGCGTATCCCATCTGAGCCGCAAAGCAGCGCCCCTGCCCGCTCCCCACACACGCCCGCTGGCCCCATCTGGAAGCCTGC